GGAGAATGAAGCATACAGGCAGCAGCAGCACGCCGCGTAATGATAGGCTACTTCATATCGACTACCTCTGGATAGCAGGCTGTAGCATACAAGACCGGCCAACCCTGTGCGTGCATGCCATAGTGTTAGGCATGTAAATGGGTCAGAGTTACTAGACACAAACACTAACCCTCCTATCAACAAACCAAATTCTTTATGGGTTTTGGATCAACCAAACCCACTGTGTCCTTGAGTACTTGTTCCACCAAAGAACACTAGGAGTGCAGGACAAGAAACGAAGACGCGTGAGGAGGAAGAAGAAACGTTTTGGATACCGGGTCAGTGGGTCACCCCATGAAACTCTGCATCGCTACACAGTGTAGTGGTCCTAGTCCGACCCTATAATGCACGTCAATTTTTTTTGGCCGAAAGTACATGAAAATTTGGCGCACCCATGGCCCCTTTGCCCTTTCAGAAATGATTCTGAACTCTAGACACGCAACGATGGTCCCAATTGCAAGCGTCTGCCCCAAAAGCGAACTGAGCAAACGGAAGAGGGGCTGACATCGTACTGCTATACCATTTGTATTGAACAAACACCGTCCATCAGATTGGGCTACTAAGACACGTGTCCAACATCCAGCAGCGACGGCAGCTTCCAACCCCCGGTGGGCAGTTACCATCCGTTTCAGAAAATCTACTCTAATATATATATACTCAAACTGATAAATGAGTATGTACACATACACAACATGATTTATTGATTATATATATATATATGTGTGTGTATATATGTATATATATGTATGTATATATATATAGAACTACTGCCCTATAGCTGGCTATAAAATAACTTATTCTGTAGCCACTTTGAGTTACGATAATTACTATGTTAATTTACGAGATTATAGTAACTCCTTACTAAGTGGTTTACTATAACGTTATGGTAAATATCCCCATGTGTTATAGTAACCCAACTATCGTAAATATGTATTAACATTATCGTAAATTAGTATATAAAATTATCGTAAATAGAGGTAGCTACAGAATAACTTATTTTTGTAGATGACTACTGAATATACTCATATATATATATATATATATATATATATATATATATACACACACACACACACAAAGGTATCAAAAGCTAGTAAATTACCTAGTTGACAACTTGAGATAATGATTATCCACTAAATAGTCTCAACTCTTAGATCAGAATGCCCTAACTGCACGTATGCACTTTGAACCGTATGTCTTATGGGATTGCCAAATCTTGTCCTCTGAAGAATACAAATTGGAGGTAAATAAATATATGATTGGAGGTAAATTCTTTTTGAACTGAAAACTGTGGAGCATTGCTCCCCAGCTATTTTATTAAAACTGAAGGGACCAAAATACAGAGCATTGTCCTCTAAAGCATGAAATATACAAACAAAAAAAATATAAATATAGAATAAATTAAATTACCTGGATCGGATGATGCCTGATGGAATTGGACAGAGAGAGGCAATCAGCCAATCAGGCAAGCAGCACGTCCCTGGTTCTTGGCAGTTGGCACGAGCAGGCAAGCAGCAGGGCGCGCAGCGCAGGAGGCCAGGACGGCGGAGGCCTGAGCGCAGCGCAGTACACAGCACGCCGGCAACGATTGGCGATGGCCAATGCCCAATAGCCGATTGATCAAGGAAGGCAGGAAGCTACGGAACTACCTATATACAAAGGCAGCAAGCAGCGCCAAAGGAGAGAAAAAAATTGGAGCTAAATTAAACATTGATTATTTTTCGTAGATCAACAAAGGGAAGTAGGAGCAACTGGGCAAACGAACCGTACCTGGAACACCTGACGTCGACTCGTAGCTTGCGTAGGAGTCACGTACGTGGCTACGTGAGTTGGGCTGCCGGCCGCCGGCGACGACGCAACGGCCGACGACCGCGCAATGGAGCGGCGATCGGAGCACCGCAAGGGAGCGACTCTGCGAGAAACAATTGAACCACCAAAATCACCGAACGTCCGATCGATGGAGAGGAGCGGCAGCGGCGTGCGGAACTCAGAAGGCAAACCTCTCGTAGGTTTTTCTTGACCGGGTCTCGTAGCTGTTACGATTCGTTGGGCCTTTTTTTTGGGGCGTGCGTAACTCAGAAGGAAACATGTCGTAGGTTTCTTTTTTTTTGACCGGGTCTCATAGGTTCCTGTTACGAGATTTTTTTAAGACATACCTGTTATGAGATTGGTTGGGCGTTTTTTTAGAATACGGAGTATACATGTATATGATTAGACCCCTTGCTTACTATTGTTTCTATTATTTATGAGCTTTCTATTATTTTCTAAAATGATTAAAACAGCTTATGAGTATTAATTAAATAAACAAAGTAAAATATTAGACGTGGGAAAAATTCGTGACAACCTGCAACACATGGGAACATATCTAATAGATGATATATATGGGGTTGGTTCCTTGGCCTCGAGGGCCCAATGTGGCCTCAAAGCTCGACCCCCTTAGGACCGGGGCTGACTGGCGTTCTAGGAGACGACACATCTAGGGAGCCAGCCGAAGGCTGCTGGCCAGGTGTGCCCGATCCAGATGACAATGATCGATCGATGGGGAGAGTCACATGCATCTCTAACCAACATAGCGTTCACATATGGTGTTGGGTCCTAGACAAAGAAAGGCCCACCAAATACTTTAGTCTATAGCAACACAAAAAAACAGTGGCAATAGTAACATGATATTGCATCCATTTAGGATTGTAGTTGCAATAAGACCTAACAATTGCAACGCCATAGAAGATTATTGCAACCCCAAAAAACCATGGCAATACGAACATGCTACTGCAACCATTTCAGAATTCTTGTTGCAATAACCACCTAACGATTGCTGGACCACTGAAGACTATTGCAACCCAGAATAACCATAGCAATAGTTACAAGCAAAAGCAACCAAATCCAATATAGTTGCAATAACACCAAGTAATTTTTTATAATGGAAATTTTTTCTTTATTTCTTATAATGGAAAAAAACTAAATAATTGATTGGAAGATTAGCCGCTCTGCATCGGAATATATTGGACATCTCCAAAGCAATACAACCCCGCTTTTATAGAAATTTATTTTGAGACCTAACACCTCCTCGAATGCACACAAAGCAAGAGCTTCATATTATGAGCTTTCTTCAAGATGATGTTCAAATAAAGAATTGTGTCATATCCATATTTTTTTTGAACTGTTCGTCTGCATATTATTGAATAGATAAGCCGTCATCAACTAGATGTGGTACTATACCATTGATCCGCCAATCATCTTTCACCCTCTTTATGATGACTCTTAACATATCCGCGACAATATTAAAAAGGAGCATAAAAGGGATCTCCACAATATTATATATCTTTATCTGTTTTTAAACTATGAAAACAGAATTCAAATTCAAATAAAATGGCAAAAAAATATTTTTTAAACAGGGCCATCTCCGTTAATCCTTTAACAGAGGCGGGTGCCTTCTAACGACCGCCTTCGTTAAAGCATATTAACATAGGTGGTCTCCTTAAGGCAGCCGTCTACGTTAATATGGTTGATGGAGGTGGCCAAGGCACCCGCCTCCGTAAAGCGCCATTAACACATACACTTAATCGGGGGTGGATGCTCATTTTGACCGCCTCCTTTAACGTAGGCACTAGTAGTGTTCATCACTCACTTGAATAAGTACTAACGACTGATGGCAGTCCGTCGGGCATGCACGACTCAACCTCCTATTTAGGCTTGATCCAGGCCACGCGAGACCATCCAAGGTCTTGTTTGGATACACTCGTATTTTGAGTGAATTGAGATGAAACTTATTTTAATTTTCATCTTCATCTCAGTGCACTCTAACAGAGGTGGATTGAGATAATGAGTGTATCCGAATAAGCCCTGATGCATGAGTTGATCCACGCTAGCCAGACATGACCCTAGCCCGGTAGTGCGTGAGTTGGGCTGGGCCACCAAGTGTGACTTCCTTGCCATGGCCTGGTTTCGCGTTCATTGCTTAACTCTGTGATACAGGATTAGGATCATCCTTTTTGAGCAATGCTAACACAGCTCACCATAAAGTTGTCGAAGCAGAGCAGCAACCTCATGCTGCCATAGCCGTTGCGATACTCCCCTGCACACGCATTGGGCAGGCCCTCCCTCCGTCTTCGACGCCAGGAGACCCTCCTCATCGTGTAGGAGCAACGGTGCTTTGCTACCGATGCCAGGGAGAACAAGGCTGCAGCTGCACGTCAGCTCCTGTGCTCTCGAGACTATGGTCCATGGAGATGTCGCACTCCTGTTAGGCGACTTTGTGGCTTGGAGTTGTTGTTGATTGGGCTGCGACCTGCCTTGCATGTGCTTCCGGCATCGGTAGCAAAACACCAGAAAGTACAGCCGCCTTCACAGCAAGCGAAAGTAGAGCGCTGTCCCAAAATGAATTAAGAGACTAGAAAAACCAACCTTCCGCCATCCTTTGGTCGTCCAGAAGATGACAGAGGAGGCCCCTCATTCTGGACCTTTGGCTTGGCGGTGCGCGGGAAGGGGGCAGAGACATAGAGAGACATAACCATAGGGGGACGGTCCCTTGCGCTGCAGCCTGGTAGTTGTTCGTTCCGACGCGAAGCCGCCAAGCCAAGTGCCAATTGCCGAATTAGGCGGGATAGGCACTACCGTGGGCGCGACAGGCGTCAGCAGGAAGGGGAACTGAGATTTGGGAAGAAGGGCTATGGTAGTCGGGTCCCTTAATTCACACTGCGGGAGGTACCTACAGACATCAAGTAGCATGTGTAATGTCCAACACAAACACAAGTCTGTGGAAGGCTCACCTGAAATCACAAGTGCACAACAGTGTACACACAAACTAGTACGTTTTCCATAAAGACAAGGGAACTCTTTTTTTTGGGAAGACTACATAACATTAGGAGGAAAAGCAGCAGTACTATAAAGGGTACAAAAGAGACACGGCCGGAGAACCAGCTTTGATGTTCTCAACAGTAGTAATTAAGACGATACAACAATCACCAATATTTAACTGCAATTTGGAATTGGTTGGACCTCGAGCGCCTATCATTCTCAGCCTTCATCTGCTCAAGTACTGTGTCGACTAGTGCATGATAGTCACCTCGACAGTCGAGCATAACCTTTTTCAGGTTGGTCAAGTGTTCAATGCCAATGATGCTCCTCTCCGCCACGTGTCTGGACCTGGAGTCAAAGCGAAGTTCAAGCATCTCAAGCATTTCCATCGATTCTTCCTCAAACCGAATAACTTTGGGTAGATAACCTCCAAGTATCAGGTCCCTGAGCACCGGAAATTTGTGGCTGCTGCGTGCAACCAGCTCATCCCCGCTGTAGCAGTCCCAAGTCACGCACAATGTCTTCAGGTTGGGCAGCATACACAGGACGCCAAAGTGCTCATCACCGGTAAGGGTCGTATCCACAGTAGAAAAACTAACAAGATGTGCGAGTGACCCGATCCAGCTGGGCAATCCATTGGCAATGTCACCTGTGATCCAAAGGGTTTGGAGGAGTTGTGGTGGTGTTGGTAGGTGATGGAGAAAGTTCAGTATCTTACCACCATCATCACTACTTCCATGTCGTCCGATACTGAGCCACCGCAGGGAGTGCATCTTATGGACAGAGCAAGTTCTTTGAGAACCTCCTCATCAATGGCCTTGTTGATGTCGATGGATAAGTCTAACTCTTCTAGTTCCTCAAGTTCACCTACCTCTTGGGCAACTTTAGAGTCATCCCCAAGAGATACCCCACGCAGCACATGTAGAGCCTTCATTTTGTTTATTCCTCGGGGCATAGTCCACATAGTACCCAAATAATTATTCTTGTTGCAGAACCGTATGTCCTCGAGTTTCTCTAGCTTTGTGATTGTTTCTGGCGGCTCAGTAAGAAGCGTGAAAGCTAGATCAAGCGTCTGTAAATGCTCTAGATTCCCGATCTGCGTACACTACGTGAAAAACGTTTTGTAGCAACGAGGCAAATTTTTTGTAGGGGCGGCTAGTGATGGAGACGTCCCTATAGTGGCGTGCTCGGGAGCCCAGAGACCAGCCGCCCCTACAAATAGAACAGCAGGGGCGGCTGGTGTTACGAGCTGCCCCTACAAATAGGTCGGATTTGTAGAGGCGGCTAGTAATACCAGCCGCCCCTGCTGTGTCCATTTGTAGGGGTGGTTGAATCACCGGCTGCCCCTACAAATACCGAACCGACAATAAAATTCTAATATACTAAGCCGGTTTGCCTCGCCCGTCGCCCTCTCTTTCTCTCCTCTTCGCTCCCTCTCCCTCTCGACGCGACCTCCCTGTCGATGCGGGACCCACAGGATACCCCGCATGAGAGAGAAGATCTAGTTCAACTAGGATTCTTCCCATGTAATCTTAGTAATAGAACTATTAAGTAATCCTACTAGGAAATCTCATTGTAAACCGATTAGGACTCGCCCTCCCGACTATATAAAGGAGGGCGGGGCTCTGAAAGAGGACACAATACAACATAACACTTCATAATCAATCCAACGCAAAAGGCCAACGCCGACCGGACGTAGGTCGTTACTCGATCTACGATCGAGGGCCCAACCAGATAAATCGATCGTCTCTTGCGCTTACCATCGAAGTTCAAAGATACGCGAAGCTCGAATAATATCGCCCCGCACCCCCGTGGCAGGCTATCGGTGGTGAAACATCGACAGCTGGCGCGCCAGGTAGGGGACTTCGGCGACTTTGCATCCGAGAGCTCGATGGACCTCGATAACATGATCTTCCCGATGGGATCGATTTTCATTTTCGGTTCGTGGATCTGCGATACGGACAACTACGGCAAGCTTCAAAGCCATCTCCTCAAAGATCCGGATCATCATGAAGAATTTCCTATTTCGACAACTACGATGGATCACTCACCGTAAGATTCACAGCCCCATAATACTCGATTCGAATAAGATTTCACGGCTACACGCATCCGACTCGAATTCAAGCTCCGTGTCCGAGATGAAGTCTTATTCGAGTGCTTTCAAGAAATCGAGTTCTTTTTTGGCAAGATTCCAGAGCACAACCCAAAACAACTCGGATTATCCTCGAGTTCTTTCGTAAAGGCCGAGTTCTTTTCCATTTGGGCTCGACAACACGACAAAATCCTATCGTGACAGTTCGAAAGGTCTTTCAATCCAACGCTTGGGATACCACCGACAGAGCTCAGAGGGTCTCGTACTAACGATAACATCGCAAGAAGATCAGATTATCCATCGCCGTGTTCCGCTCCTCGAGGATAGCGGAACCCAACTAGCCGGCACAACAACAACAACAGCTATTCTACCTTACCAAGAAGGAGACTCGATCGCGACGCCGAGGCGCCTCATCAAGTCATCAAGAACTCCGACAAAGATGAAAACTAACACCAATAATCTAACGGCTCACGCACGGGAGGTGCTCATGGTTCGACGTCCTCGGTCACCATTAAATCCCCTGTAGTACCCAATGTCGTCATCGATGAATCAGAGTCCAACATATCACCCTTTGCCTGTGGCTACGATGGAGAAACCGAGAGTCGAGACAAAGCTAGAGAAAGGAAAAACAAGTTGAAGCAAGGGCGCCAACACCGCGCTAGGTAGCGTAGAGAAGCCTGGACCAGATACGAGTCAGAGTTGGCTGAATACGACAAAAGAAAATCACAACAAGAAGCCGAAGAAAGACGCACAGTGAATACGCCTTACGATAAGATTCGAGAAGCATTAGAAGAACTCAGAGCAACTTCACATCACAGAGAGAAGTACGAACAGCTCCAGGACTTGCTCCGGTCGACGATCCCAAGAACGCATGAAGAGAGAGCCTGATCAAGACTACCCGCCAGATCAACAACCCGCAGGCAAGAAGATCAAAATCAAAGGAAGTCCGCTTTTGAAAGACTTGGGCCAGGCGTAAGCCATAACGAAGAAAGTAGGAGGGAACATAGTCGGGGCCACCAATTTGAACAACCAAGGAAGACCAGGAGTAGAGTGCCTACCCAGACAGCCTCGCAGACTTATTCCCATCAAAACAACACTTGGCCAGAAGAAGGAGCCGAATCCGAATTCAAGGAAGCCGGAACGCATGATAGATTCCCCTGTTTTGCAAACAGGTTGGCATCAGTACGATTACCTCACAAATTCAAACCATCTAACCAGTCCAAGTATGATGGCAAAACTGAACCAAGACAATGGCTCAGAATATATTCACAATCAATTGAACTAGCCGGAGGAGACGATGATATCAAAACCTTGTTCTTTCCCATGGCACTGGAAGCGATGCCCCTCCAATGGTTCGATAAATTGAACCCGTGATCGATCGAACTTGGGAAGACTTGCAAAGAGCTTTCAGAAAAATTTCATGTATCATCACACACCCGATCACTCATGCAGAATCGAAAGGACTCAAGCAAAAGGGGGCGAAAGTCTCGTAAATTACTATCGACGATTCAAGCGAATCAAGGGCTCAAGTGCATGACATCACCGAACGAGAAGTAATTGAAGCTTTCTCTCACTAATCATGGCTAGGTGGCAATTTCAAGACTTCGCAAAGAAAATCCAAGAAACAATGAAGAGTTCGTACGAACAAGAGAAAAAATGATTACCGCAGAAGAAAAAACACGAGAAAGGTTCCTGGATAGAAGCAACCAAGACAACCCTTGATAGGCAAAATCATCGAATATAGTATATCAAGAAAGAAAGCATAGACCGTATAATACCGTGGCAATGGCCGACAAATCAAAGAAGTTTTCCAAACCTAGAAGATATGATGACATTGAAAACATACGTTGCTCATTACACCCTAACGGAGACACACCATCGGAAACTGCTACACTTTCAATGATCGATACACAAGAAAAGATAGTAAGGAGAACACCAAAGAGGACAATCAAGAAAGATGAAGACAATCACGAGGACAAAGGATTTCAAAAACCTGTGGGAATGGTAGCGTTGATCTTCTCAGGGCTCCAGATTGCGCGTAGCAAACATCAAGAAAAACTAGCACCACGGACTATCATGACGGTAGAACCGGCTACACCAAGATATCTCAATTGGTCACAATATCCAATCCAATTTTCAAGAGAAGACCAATGGACTAGCGAGGGAACGCAGCCATTACCCACTAGTTTTAGATCCAACTATTGCCGGTATGATCGCCACCAAAGTACTAATCGACGGGGAGCTGGACTCAACATCATCTTTTCGTAAACACTAAGGAAGATGGGACTACAACTCACGGATGATTACACCAACAAGCACTCCTTTTTACGGAATAGTACCCGCAAAGCAGCCATGCCACTTGGACAAGTTACTTTACCCATCACTTTTAGAACTCCTTCAACTATCGAATGTAGTTTATCAAATTTGAGGTCGCAGACTTCGATTCATTCATATCATGCGATCCTCTGGACGCCCAAAGACCGCAAAAATTTATGGCAATACCACATTATCCGTACTTATTGCTTAAGATGCCAGACCCAACGATATCCTTTCTCTTCGGCGATCTGAAGCGTGCTTTTGACTACGACGTTCAGTAATCCAAATTGCGCCCAAAGCACAAGTTTACAATGGAAGAAAAGAAATAGCCACAATTGTCATGCGGAGATGAGCCAAGAAGAATTAGAAATACCGCTAAAAAGCCTAGCATCATCACACCACCAAAAGAAGCCGACGCCAAGCAAATCGATTTGGCACCGACGATACCTCCAAGACAAAGAACCATCGCTGCTCACCTCTCGGCAAAATAGAACTCGCGCCACCAACTTTCTTCGGGACAACAAAGATATCTTCGCTTGGAAGCCGCCGACATGCCAGTGTCCCAAGAGAGTTGGTCGAGCACGTAATTGATGTTAATGAAAACTCCAAGCCTATAAAGCAACGGCTACGACGATTCTCACCCGACAAAAAGGCAACGATTAAAAAGAAATCACAAAACCGATGGCAGCCGGATTCATCGAGAAATCCTTCATCCGGACCGCTAGCAAACCCGGTCCTTGTGTAGAAGAAGAACATAGACGAGTGGCGAGCAAAGGCCGACTACACGGATCTCAACAAACATTGCCCAAAAGATCCGTTCGGGCTACCACGCATTGACCGGATAGTCGACTCAACAAAGCGGGTCTGCACTATTATCCTTTCTCGATTGCTATTCGTGGTATCACCAGATCGCATTAAAAGAACAAGACCAGAGCAAGACATCTTTTATTACTCTGCTCGGTGCTTATCACACAAGACCATGTCGTTTGGACTAAAGAACGCGCCGGTGCACATACCAAAGAGCTATCCAAACTTGCCTTGGGGGATCAAATCGGTGAAAATGTGGAGGCATACGTGGATGATGTAGTGGTGAAAACAAAGAACCCGCACACTATGATTGAAGATCTAGAGCAAACATTTGAAAACTTGAAGAGATGGAGATGGAAATTGAACCCAAATAAATGTGTATTCGAGTTCCTTCAGGGCAACTACTCGGATTTTTGGTCAATCAACAAGGATTGAAGCCAAAGACCAAGCAAATTCGAGCTATAACATGTAAATGGGGCAACCTAGAAGTATCAAAGATGTACAGAAACTAACAGGATGCATGGCGGCCCTCAACCGCTTTCATATCAAGACTCGGCG